TTACTCTAAATTAGGGGTTAGCAAACTTTTTCCATAAAAGGCCAGATAGTAAGCATTTTTAAATATTCTTTCCTTTTTTTCTTTATTTTACAACTCTAAAAATGTAAGAGCCAACTGAAAGCAGTGGGTATGTTCACATTGCTGTCAATCAATTTCCAGATCTATTACATCTTGCAAAACTGAAACTCTACATCCACTGAACTAACATAATAATTTCCCATTTCCAGGGCACCTGGGTGGTTCAGTCGGTTAAGCATCCAACGTCGGCTCAGGTCACAATCTTGCGGTTCATGGGATTGAGCCCCGCGTAGGGCTCTGTGCTGACCTCCAGCTCAAAGCCTGGAGCCTGTTTCAAATTCTGTATCTCCCTCTCTCTCTGACTCTCCCCTGCTCATGCTCTCTCTCTCTTTCTTTCTCTCTCTCTCAGAAATAAATAAAACATTTAAAAAATTTATAATAATTTCCTATTTTCCTTTGTATACCAGTGTGCATCACGGCCCTGGACACCATTAGGGGATAGAAAGGAGGGCTCTGTGGTCAGGGTCAAAAGGTCAAAGTACACACGCCAATGTTCACAACAGCAATATTCACAATAGGCAAAATGTGGAAACACAAATGTCCGTTGACAGATGAATGGCTAAACAAAATGTGGTCTATACAAACAATGGCATACTAATCAGCCTTAAAAATGAAAAGAAATTCTGGGGCGCCTGGGTGGCTTAGTCGGTTAAGAGTCCGACTTTCGCTTAGGTCATGATCTGGCGGTTCGTGGGTTCGAGCCCCGCGTCGGGCTCTGTGCTGACTGCCAGCTCAGGGTCTGGAGCCTGTTTCAGTCTGTGACTCCCTCTCTCTCTGACCCTCCCCTGCTCACGCTGTCTCTCTCTCTCTCCTAGAAATAAATAAAAACATTTAAAAAAAAAAATCAAAAAAAAAAAAATGAAAAGAAATTCTGATACCTGCTACATGAATGGACTTTAAAAATCATTATGCTAAGTGAAATATACAAGATGTAAAAAGGACAAATATTGTATGAATCCAACTTACATGAACTATCTAGAATAAATTCATATAGACAGAAAGTAGGATAGTGATTACCAGGAACTGGGAGAAAAGGGAAATGAGGAATTAGTATTAAATGGATACAAAGTTTCAATTCGGGCTGACAAAAAAAAATCCAGATATGGATAGTAGTGATAGTTTCATAAGACGGATGTACTTAATGGCTGAACTGTACACTTAAAATAGTTAAATGGCACATTTTATGTTATTTTACCACAATAAAAGAAAATGTAAAAACAGTTCTTAGCTTCATGAGCCATAAAGAAATAGACTGCAGACCATAATTGGGTTGCAGGCCGTAGTTTGTTCTGAATCATAAGACCCACTAAACAAACAAAATGACATGAAATACTTAGAAGTTTTTTCAGAGTCATTGTAACTCATTTTCATTTCAACATGAACATGTTAAATACATTTTCACATTTAATATATTTGTTACACTTAACAAATTATAAGTGTAACCAGTAAATGTTTGAGAGCAGTCTCTTCAAGATGGGGTCAATTGATGCCACCTTGGGGCACCTGCGTGGTTCAGTCAATTATGTGTCCAAATCTTGATTTCAGCTTAGGTCATGATCTCATGGTTAGTGAGATGGAGCCCGGAGTCTGGCTCTGGCTAACAGCTTAGAGCCTGCTTCGGATTTTCTCTCTCTCCCCTTCTCTCTCTGCCCTCCCTGACTTGAGCTTGCTCTTGGTCTCTCTCTCAAAATAAATAAATAAGCATTTGAGGGGGAAAAAAGACAAGATCAAAATGTATATAAAGGTATACAGACATATACATAGAAATCTGTTAATACATGTAATATATACAGCTTTACCTGTTATAGACGTAGGGAGTTATAGAGGAAATATAAATAAATAAATAAACCATAGTGTCTTCAACAAAGCTTAAAATGTAGCCTGAACAATGTGGTAGGTAAAGCTGAAACTTAACAGTCAAAAATACTCAGTTTCAAAGTTCAGATTTTAAAGTTTGATATTACAGCTGGCTTCGCTTATAGTTTCTTCCCCATTCATTTGGTACATAGTAGATCATTTTCCCTCCCATTTGGGGGAGAAGAGAAAATGACACATTACAAAATCAAGATAATGTGAAGACCTACTCATACCCCTTCCCTACACTTGCAACCTTTAAATCTAACACTCACTTAACTCTTTGATTGGTTAGCATAATCTCAAATTCTGAAGGCAAGCTACTCCTAAAAAAGAAAACCCTAGACACTTTATCCAGACTTAAAGTCAGCTCTAGGCAAAAAAAAAATCACTCTAAGCAAGAAGCCTTTTCCCAGTAGACAGAGACATGGAGACAAGAGACATGGTTTTGGTAATCTGTTCACTGGAACAGATGCATAACGACCCTAAACAGAGAATAAAACAATCATTTTTATTATGCTTATGGGTTCTTTTCAAGACTTTATTTTTTCAGAGCAGTTTTAGATTTAAAACAAAATTAAGAAAAAGGTACAGAGAATTCCTATACAACCCCTAGCCCCTGCACACATGCAGAGCCTCCTCATTTTCGGTACTGTCCACCAGAATGGTACATTTTTTACCAAGGATGAATCTACACTGACACAACAAAATCACCCCAAATCCACAGTTTACCTTAGGGATCATTCTTGGTGTTACACATTCTATGTATTTGAACAAAAGCATAATGACATACACTCATTAATATATAGAGTATTTTCACTGCTCTAAAAACCCTCTATACTCTGACTATTCATCTCTCCCTTGTCCTCATCTGGCAACCACTGACTTTTTTGACTGTCTCCATAGCTTCTTTTCCAGAGTCACATAGTTGGAATCATAGTGTGTAGTCTTTTCAGATTGGCTTCTTTCACTTAGTAGTATTTATTTAGGGATCCTCCATGTCTTTTCATAGTGTGATAACTCAATTCTTTTTAGTGCTAAATAATATTTCATTGTTTGAATGTACCAGTGTGTATTAATCTTTTTACTTAATGAAGGACATTTTGGTTGCTTCTAAGTTTTGGCAATTATGCCTAAAAGTGCTATAAACATCAACATGCAGGGTTCTGTGTGGACATAAGGTTTCACCTCCTTTGGGTATATAATAAGAAGTACTTTTGCTGAGTCATATGGTAAGACTATATTTCATTTTATAAGAAACTTCTAAACTATCTTCCAAAGTAACTGTACCATTTTGCATTCCCATTAGCAATGTATGAGATTCCTTTTGCTTCACATCTTCACAAGCATTTGGTGTTGTTAGTGTTCTGGATTTAGACCATTCTAAGAGGTGTGTAGTGGTAAGTCATTTTTTTTTTTTTCACTTTGCATTTCCCTGATGGCATATGATGTGGAGCATCTTTGCATATACTTATTTGACATCTTTATATCTTCTTTGGTGAGGTCTGTAAAGGTATTTGGCCCATTTTTAAAATGAGTTTTTGTTTTCTTATTGTTGAGTTTTAACAGTTCTTTAAACATTGTGAATGACGGTCTTTTATCAGATGTATTTTTTGCAAATATTTCTCCCAGTCTGTGTCTTGTTTTCCATTGTTTTAAAATCGTGGATTCGGGGAGCCTGGGTGGCTCAGTCGGTTAAGCATCTGACTTCAGCTCAGGTCATGATCTCACCGTTCATGGGTTTGAGCCCCACGTCGGGCTCTGTGCTGACAGCTAGTTCAGAGTCTGGGGCCTGCTTCAGATTCTGTGTCTCCCTCTCTCTCTGACCCTCCCCTGCTCATGCTGTCTCTCTCTCTCTCTCTCAAAAATAAATCAAATATTAAAAATAAAATAAAATAAGATAAAATAAAATAAAATAAAATAAAATCGTGGATTCTTCAGGTCAGGAATGAGGACAAGACAGGGCAAGATGGCTCACTTTGGTCCACAGGTCTAGGTCCTCAGCTGGGAAGACTGAAAAGGCTGAGGTGTAACTAAATGGCTGAGATCTGGAATCCACTTCTCCATTCTCATATCTGGCGCCTAGGCTAACTGGAGGGCTGGGCTCAGCTGTGACTGTCAATCAGAGTACATTCAAGGGGTCTCCCTAGGGCTCTGGGCTTTTCACAACACACGGGACTCAGTTAAGTCAGACTTCTTACATGATGGCTGAGAGCTGCAAAAGTTTGCAAGGGTTTCAACAGACAAGATGGGGTAGCATGGCCTTTTATGACTTAGCCTCTGAAGTCACATATGGTGACTATGATCACTTTCTCTACTTTCTATTGTATAAATCAATCATAAGCCCATCCAGATTTAAGAGGAAAGGATCCAAGATATGCCTTTTCATGGAAAGAACATCAAAGAACTTATAGCCATATTTTAAAACCACCAAGGACATATTATATAGAGAGATGTGGAGACACATGCCAAAGGATTAACAGCTGTGCCCACCTCCCAGGTTCCCTCAAAGTGATTTTATTAACATGATTTTAAGTCAGACTAACCCAAACATATTCTCCATGGATGGAAAAATTCCATCTACCTGTTTTCATATACTACAGTGACAAACAGAAACTTCACTTCATCTATAAAAACTGCACCAAGAATGAATAATATCTTACTTTTGGCCCTAGTACCATCTGCTAGTTATAACCACTTCTTAGTTTCCAAACACCATTAAGCTCAGATCCACCCCCAGTGTCAGACTAAGTCATATCCAAAAAGAATACAGAGAATACATATAGCAGATAGAGCAAGTAAACTAGAATCACACTGGCATTATGATTGCTGAAACTGGTGGCCATTCTCTATCTCAGTAATTGTTAGACTTTAGAATTTCGTGGACCAAGAAAACTTTCAAAAGTAAAATAAACCAAATGGGAGAAAATATAGTTAGCAACATTTTACTCTCCAAAGAAAAATATTTAGAAAATAATTACTCTATAACTGTCATTGGATAATAGAAATAGAATGAACAATTTCAACATAATGCATAGTCCTTAAGTTTGACTAAATGAAAAACTCACTATATATTTTTTTCTTATTTCTCTGCCAATCTGTAGCAACTTCACCATAGATGAACCCCAGTTCACAAACTGGTGTGCAAAACCACTCGTCCATCTGACATGCTGGTCTCTTCCATCTCTTGCTTTATTCTGATAGTTCTAACTTTGGCTTGCTCCTAGGAAAGACAAATAAGTAATTATGAATGCCATAAGGATATATGTTATATTGTTACATTACAATATAACATGAATCCCATAAGGATACAGGGAACAAAATGAAGAAAGTTTTCATAAATCAGGTAAAAAAGTTTTGCCCCTGAGAAAGAATGAGGAAGACTATTAAAGTTGACAATGACTGTGGCTGAAAGCGTAGAGACAATCTATGTGTGCAGTATATCCAAGGAAGATACATAGTGTATCAAAAAAGTAAGTAGTGGTTACACTTGGTTGTAGAGTAAGGGTTACTTTTCTATATTCTTCTATTTTCTGAAATTTAACAATGGAATATGCATACATTTAATGATCAGGAAATAAAGAACTACTTTGATTTTGTAGACTACCTTAGGAAGAATAAACAAAAGGCCTATTTCCCTTTAAGAATGCAGTCTGTATTAAAAGAGGCCAGGTTGGAAAATGGAGATGTTAAAGATCTGGAGGATGGATGCAGAAATCCAGATCTAGGCTTTGCCAAGGCAAATGGCACTGGGGAAGATAGCATTCCCTCGAAGCCTCTCTCAGAATTCCAGGCTAGGTGTACTCAATACTGAGGTTTTCTTGTCCACAGTCATTAGTCAGAAACTCTCAAGTGCCAGGTGTGTCTGACAAGTCAAATGCTTAGCAGTACCTCTGGAATCCAGAGAACAAAGTTGGAATTCAAGCCCTACCACTAACTAGCTCAATGAACAAAGGCAAATTACGAAACCACTTGAAACTTTTTTTTTTCATCTGTAACATGGAAAACTGCTTGCTTTTCTGGATTTAGATCAACTGATATAATGTAGATGAAGAATTTAGTACAATGCCTGCCTCTCAGGACATGAGAATTACAATAGAGGGCACATTTGGATAGCTAATTGAGAAGTTTGATATTTGTTTGCTTTGTTGGTTTTAAAAGGCTTTAAGATCCTATTTGCCATTTATTCTATAGGTTTACCTAAAAGCTGTGGGCATATAAAATATCTTTGTCAGTTGGAATGTCAAAACCTTTTGAAACTTAAATGTATTCGTTTTTAACACGAGTTCTAAATGCGAAAAGGATATTTAGTATTTGCAGTTGCTTCTAAAATTAAGTTACCTTTAGAATTTTCTGCAAAATCCACAAATAACTAAGTAGCAACCCCCCCCCCCAATTGTAACAACTGATACAAAACTAGGAGGACACTTTCCATTCTTCTCTTATTCCCCCCACTCTCCTATCCACTCACAGAGAGAACCGGAGATCTTCTGTACGAACACAAGGCTCAGTTCTAAGGTCTTACCCAGACTTTCTCATTGCTGGAATACAGTCAGGCAGGAGAACGTAGTAGGTATTCCTCAAGTGTTCTCAATCAATGCTTACAGCTTTCAGGATTTCAGAATCCTGTTCACGGGCCATTGAGGCAACCGGTACCAATTCCACCAATTCCTACCCACCTCCTCTCCTTCCAACCTCCTAGCCTTGCTACGCCTCTCTACAGCCCCGCCCCCCACAAATGACCAATCAGAGAGTGTAAAGTGAGGCGGATGGGGCGGGCCCAGTTTGGCGCTGTCGACGAATCAGCAACCTCAAACAGCGGGGGCGGAAGCGGAAGCCCTGTGTTGGCCTAGGGTTCCGCTGTGGGGATGTCCCGTGGGAGTGAGTGAGGAAATCCTGGGGCCCGCTGGTTTGAGTCCTCACCTCCAATCTGTCAGCGAAATCGGGCGAAGAGACGCCTGCAGGTGCGGAAGGGAGGAAGCTCGACTGCCCCAGAAAAGAGCAAGTGGGCAGGCAGCGGCGGGGCAGAACCGAAGTGTATGCAGGGTCTTTAGAGGCCGGTCCTGGTCGGCGCCGCTCTTGTTGAGGCCATGGTGCAGGCGGTGCTGTGGGCGATACCCAGGTGAGGGCAGCGGCTCCGCCCGGGTATTCCACCGCCGAAGAACTGGGTGGATGCGGGGTGGGGAAGAAAGGATGCTTCCCGCACTGCTCCCTGGTAGCACCCTGAGCGGCCGCAGTTGCGGCGACAGCAGCAGCAGCAGAAAGCACAACACGGGCCGAGGAGGCGGCTCGAGCTGCTGGTAAAGTCGCCTAACAGCTGTTTCTCTGTAGCATGCGAGTTGACAAAACAACCAAAGAACAGGGCTCCCCATTACAATCTCCATCGAGCTTTTTTTCCTTGCCATTTGGAGCTGATTTATGCGAAAACATGCCTTGCACGTGTACCTGGAGGAACTGGAGACAGTGGATTCGACCTTTAGCGGTGGTCATCTACCTGGTGTCCATAGTGGTTGCGGTTCCCCTATGCGTGTGGGAATTACAGAAGCTAGAGGTAAGAGGGTCCTTCACCATCGGCCTCCCTACCCTTTCTTCTACCGTCCTGCCCATCTAAGGTTGCCCGTTTTTACCCTAGATGCCCCAGACTTGATATCCTGAAAATCTCATGTAAACAAGCCCGGTCTTAGTTCATAAACCTGTCTGGTTTCTTGTTCACGGTTTTTCAAAGCGTGCTGCTGGTGGAAGGAGGACCAAGTCGAGAAAATAGTTAGACTATATTAAGATCGCTGCTTAGAAGAGCACTCTTTTTCAAGTACATCAAAACCCTGAAAGTAAGGTTATTTTATTCCTGAAATCTGATCTGTTCAGATATTGGACTACCTTGAAAACCATGTATTGAATTTTATTAGCATTTAACTAGCTTCCTCAATTAAAGGATTCTGATTGGTTTAACTTTGTTTTTACTTGGAAATTAGCTAGCTCTAAACCAATAAAGATTTTGCAAAAAAATCCCTTGTGTATTTTTTGATGTCATATTCTTATTATGACATCAGTAAAATACTACAAGCTGGAAGACCCCAAGGTAAATACTCAACTAAGATAGGTACCTTGTAAAAATTGTATAATGAATTTTAAATTCTAAGTTAATGAAAACCAGCAAGTACTTTTGTTTAGCAACACTTATTTTATAAGAGCAATGGTGAGACCATGGCTGTTTTTGGCTTTTTGTTATGGAAATGATTTTTACTTAATTAAACAAAATGTATTTTAATATACTTTTGTTTTCTGTATGTTCACTAAATTATATTTTGTTGACTTTCCCATATTGGTGTAGCCCATGTAGTTATTTTTAATGTTAATATAATACTCTACTACATTAAATATTTCCCATTTGTTAAGATACTTAGGTTATTCTCATAATATGTCAACCAGAATTCAAGTACAGACATCTTAATACAAATTGGTATTTCTTACTTTGAAGTATTTTTTTGGAGTGTGGTATAGGAACTACTTTTTAGGCTAATAATATGTATAATATCAACCTAGTTTAAGGCTTCTCTTAGTTGTTGGTTAACTAGAATTAACTAGAATTTTTCAGTGCCAGCTTTTAAGGATCTGCAGTCTTTACTGCAAACACCCTGAACCAAATTCTCTTCATGTCTTGCCTGGACTATTCTCAATTCACCAACCAAAGTATCTAATTAAAGCAGAAGTCATATTACATATGTCCTTCTTCCCAGTTTTTCAGTCACTCCAAGTGCAGATTAAAAAACAATATCCCTAACTCTGGCCATTATGGCCCAATTATAATCTGACACTACCCTCTCCTCCTCCCCCTCTACTTTCTCTCCTCAATTCTGGGCTTCTACCACAGACACTTTACTCAAACCTGGGCTTTTGTTACCTCTTTAGAACCTTTGCATTAAATGTTCCCCCTTTATGGCATTGTCTTCTCCTAGATGGTATTCTCATTCCTTTATGTCCTTCAGGTCTTGTACTCAAATGTCACCTTGCTGCCCTGTTTAAAAATTGTAAACTTTCCTTCATCCCAGTGATAAATCAGGCTTTATCACTTTTTTTTTTTAAGATAGAAATCTAGCACCTACCTTCATGGAACTTAGTGGTAGAGATCGATACAACCAAAAAAAACAAAAACAAACAAACAAAAAACCCTACCATGCTATGGAAGAAACTAATAAAGATCTAATAAATGAACCAGCAGGCATTTGACAAGACCACTACCAGCTATGGAAAAGTGGAAGTGAAGGAAAGTTAGAAAGCTCTCTATGGTAGTTAAGAGGTCAAGGGTGCCTGAGTTACAGTGACTTATGGTCCATGTCAGGATGCAGAAATAGAGATGGAAGACTGAATTTTTAAGTATCCTTGGCAGGGAAGAAACAAGACTGTAAAAATAAGACATGTAAACTGTTTACATGTTTAGGGACAGGTTTATATGAAAAACATTTGTCTTTGAACACTAGAATCACAGTGCTCACACTGAGAAGTCAGTGGGAACTGAGATTGTAGAAAACAAGTTCCTAAGAGCCTATCCCATGCCCATTGTGGGGCATGTACTCATTTATTAGAATGGCAAGATGACCATCTGCCCTACTTGAATTATTTCTGTCTCTTACTTGGCTGAGTGTGTATAATGGAGGTTACGTAAGTTAAATGCACACATAATGTCACACTACTCACTCTGCAGTTATTTTACCCTGCCCTACGTGTACTTATGCTCTAAGTAGCTACTCTTTGTGTAAGTGCTCCAGTCTTCCCCTCAGGAGGATTGGGCCCAGAGAGCACACTCTCGTTGCACTCTCCTCTCTGCTTTTAAAACATTTGGTTCAGGTTCAGTTAACTCACTCCTGGTTGTTTGTCTTTAATGGTTTTTTCTACCAACTTCAAGTTATCTTAGGGAAAAAAAATTAATGCTACTTATCTCCTCCTTGTTTTGTGAAGCAAAACAAGCCTGCCTATGGCTGATAAATTTAATTATGTTAAATGATAGCCTCATATCAATGTGTCTCAAGTGTGAATAATTTATTTAGAAATAAGTGTCAAATTAAAATAAAGGTAAAAATGATTCCTACAAATACCTAATGTTTACTTACTTTACTACTTAAATTTGTGCACAACCAAAATAGATTAAATTTCTTATGCATGTAGCTTTTCAGATAGCTCAGAAATCAAAACAGCTATAAAACCAGTGATTCAAATTAATGGCATTAATGTGGACAGATGTTTTTAAGAAACTACCACTTGCAATGAAAAAATGATACTAACTCTATGATGCAAGAGTTTTTTTAATTTGGCATCTTTATACTGACTCAATGACTCAGTTTCTTTAGTTACTCATTTTATGATCATTTGAAAACTTTTTTTTTTTTTTTTTTTACAGCACACTAAGGATACTTGTTCTTCATTATAACAAGCACACCGTTTTTCTCTTAGGTCTACCACCAAGTTGGCACTAAGGCAATTATAAAAACAAATGTGGCAATACTGATCTTAATTATCACCTTACAATAGAGAAGATCTAGAATACGTTCCTATCATTATTATTACTGTTTTAGGTCATCATTAAAATGAAGACAGATCTTCCTTGACTTACAGTGGGATCACATCCTGATAAACCCATCATAAGTTAATATCATAGATAAAAATGCATTTAATGCACTTAACCTACCAAACATAGGGATGTAGCCTTGCCTACATTAAATGTGCTGCGAACATTTATATTAGCTTATAGAGGCAAAATCCTCTACAAGTGTATTTTATAGTAAAGTGTTGAGTAGCTCATGTAATTGGATACTGTACTAAAAGTGAAAAACAATGGCCGTATGGGTACAAAAGGTTCTCAGCTCTGATAGTTTGACTTAATGACTTTTTGACTTTACAATGATGATGTGAAAGCAGTATACATTCAGTAGAAGACTGTGCTTTAGATTTTGAATTGTGATCTTTTCTTGGATTAGTGCTGTGCAGTATAATGTTCTTCTCATGATGCCAGGCAGGAGCAGCATGCCATAGCTTTCAGTCAGCATGCAACCATGAAGGTAAACTTTTATTCTAAAGTAAGCTGTGTGTAGGATGATTTGCCCAACTGTAGACTAATGTAAGTATTCTGAGCATGTTTAAGGTAGGCTAGGCTAAAGCTATGATGTTTGGGAGAGTTAGTGCATTAAATGCAGTTTTGACTTAGGGTATTTTCAACTATGATAGGTTTGCCAGGATGTAACCCCATCACAAGTTGAGGAAGCCAAATCAGTTGTTTACCCTCATGATTGTGTGGCAGACCTGGAGCTGTAGCTCCCTGCCCTTGCCCAGCATTAGGGAAAGAGTATCATACCATACAGTAAAAAAACTCAGGAAAAGATCAAAATTCAAAGTACAGTCTCTTTACCAATGTAAAGTCAAAAAATTGAAAGTTGAACTATGTAAGTCTGGGACCATCAGTACTCTATTTTAAATGAAATTGAACAGGGGCACCTAGGTGGCTAGGGCAGTTGAGCATCCAGCTCTTGATTTTGGCTCAGGTCATGATCTCATGGTTTGTGGGATCTAGTCCTGGGTTCAGCTTTGCACTGACAGTGTGGAGCCAGCTTATGATTCTCTCTCCCTCTCTCTCTGCCCTTCCCCCACTCATGTGTACTTGTGCGCACTCAAAATCAGTAAATATTAAAAAATAAATAAATAAACTGAACCAAGCAAAAATCCCCAGAAAACGATTATACCTACATTCCTTTTAGAATCTTCACCTGCATGTACTTACTTTTCACTTAGTATCATGATTGGTCTCCAGCGTTCAAGACTTTCTGTATAGTTGACCTTTGAACAGCACGGGTATGAACTACTACAGGTCCACATACACACATTTTTGTCAATAAATACAGTCTAATGTATTTTCTCTTAAGATTAAAAAAAATTTTTTTTTAATGTTTATTTTTAAGAGAGAGATACAGTGTGAGCAAGGGAGAGTCAGAGAGAGAGGGAAACACAGAATCCAGAGCAAGGTCTGACAGCACAGAGCCCAACAGGGGGGCTCGATCTCAAAAACTGTGAGACCATGACCTGAGCCGAAGTCGGATGCTTAACTGACTGAGCCACCCAGGCGCTCCTTCTCAAGATTTTAATAGCATTTTCTTTTCTCTAGGTTACTTTATTGTAAGAGTACAGTATATAGTACATGTAACATACAAAATATGTGTTAATGGACTACTTATGTTACCAGTAAGGTCCACATTAGGCTATTAGTGGTTAGGTTTGGGGGGAGTCAAAAATTATATATGGGTTTAAAATGTAGTATCCTGAGTTGATATTGTTAGATATAAGAGGGGTAGCATGTATTTAACACTGTTGGCTTGGACAGTGGTTGTGGCGGTACTTATCAAATGAGAGGGTTATAAGACAATGCATATAAAAAACTTATAAAAGTATTAGGCAATACTCAGTAACATGTTGGATAACAATAAAATTCACAGAAAATGCAGGTAGAATTTTAACTTTCCAAACATAAAAGCAAAGGAGTAGACCATAAAAAGATTTTTAGACCTGCAGAAAATTTTAAACCTTCTATACATCAAATATGCAATAATCAAATATAAAAGACAATAAGCTAAGGGAAAATGATATGATGTTAATATTCTTAATGTATACAGAACTGTTACAAAAGGCCTCACAAGGAAAAATGCTCAACCCCATGAGGAAAAATTGTCCCCCTCCCTCCACAAAAGCACAGATAGGCTATTTGTTTGTTTCTTTGTTTTTAGTTTATTCATTTACTTTTGAGAGAGAGAGGATCTCAAGTAGAATCCACGCTGTAGGCACAGAGCCCAATGTGGGGCTCGAACTCATGAACTGTGAGGTCATGACCTGAGTTGAAATCAAGAGCCTAATGCTTAACTTAGCCACCCAGGTGCTCCCTAGGCTGTTTTCTGAAGAAGAAAAAAAGCAACTAGTCATTTGCAAAATGTTTGACCTCATTAATAAATAAATATAAATTTAAATAAAAATATTTTGTTTAGCTCTTTCATTTTAATATCAGAGGATTTATTTTAAATATGTCCTTTTTTTTTAAGGTTGGAATACACACGAAGGCTTGGTTTATTGCTGGAATTTTTTTGTTGTTGACTATACCTATATCACTATGGGTGATATTGCAACATTTAGTGCATTATACACAACCTGAACTACAGAAACCAATAATAAGGTAAACCTTAACATGTTGGGATTCTTTTAGTTGTGTTTGCTTATTTCATAAATATGATGTAAAAGGTTTTTAATTTATTCTCTGCTTTCCAAATAGGATTCTTTGGATGGTACCCATATACAGTTTAGATAGTGTAAGTATGCTTCATTTTATCTCATTAGCTAAGAACTTGTTTGATGATACAACCATATTTACAGAATGCTTAAGGTAATGAAAGTTCATCATTTGGCATTATGGGGTCAGATTAATAAGAAACGTGAAAAGATTCACGTGTTTTTAATGTTAATAAAAAAGATGAAGTATGACAACAGAAAAGATGGGTGTTTTACATTTTTAAAAGATCTATAGCTATTTTCTTTGCTTATCTTTTAAAATTTCTGATTACTAGTCCCTAGTCCTTTAAAGAATGTAATACTTAAAATTACATTATCATCCTTTTTATTTATTAAATCTTTTATAAAAAAAAAAAAGCCTTCCCCAGTGGATTTTATCATGGAATTGTCACAGGTGACTGCTTTAGTTTGATTAAATATAAAGGAAATGTCTATAAGTGCATTTTCTATGATATCTCAAAAATTTCATATTATATTTAAGAACCTGATAAAATAATTTAGCTTCTTTCTTCATATTCACTATCTACATGAATGTTTTTGTTTACCATTATCCAATATGTTTATTGCTTTTAAAAATTCATTTTACAGATTGTCTGGTAGCTCTCATAAATTTTAGAAAGTTTGATGTAAATATGTGACAAGACATCTCAAGTTTAAAAGTTAGCATTGTGAGTGACAATTCATTTTATCTTAGCTGCAACTATTTTTAACATCTGTGCTTTTTCATAGTGGATAGCTTTGAAATATCCCAGCATTGCAATATATGTGGATACTTGCAGAGAATGTTATGAAGCTTATGTCATTTACAACTTTATGGGATTCCTTACCAATTATCTCACTAACCGGTATCCAAATCTGGTATTAATTCTTGAAGCCAAAGATCAGCAGAAACATTTCCCTCCTTTATGCTGCTGTCCACCATGGACTATGGGAGAGTAAGTATGTTTGGTTTTAATCTTTTTATGTATTTAAATAGAATTTTTAAGCATCAGTCAGTTCTCTGCAAAGTAGTATGTTAAGTACTTTGAGCAGGACAGAAAGTTTAAGAAGAGTTCTAACCCTCATGTAGTTCATAGTCAAGTTTAAAGAATAAAACATGTTTTTATAATCCACACATACAAATTACTCTCATACTTTATTCTTCCTAAATAGGAAACTTAAGGGTTGGGGAAAAAACCCTTAGAAATCATTTAATCAGCATCCTTTTACACTTGGGACCCAGGATATACAGAGATTAACTTACTTAAGATTATGTACATAGTTAATGGCAAAATCAAGTGTAAGACCCAAGGAGAAGGTAGTCTAGGTGGGGAAACAGCATATAATATGAAATAGGAGCAACAGTCTTTATTCTAGTACTAAATAATGGGTTAGTTGGCCTTATTATACATCTGTAGAGGACAGTAAAGCCTGAAGAGTTCAGTTGAAGCTAAGATTGCATTTTTGATGTGAATGAGCCATTGGATATTTGTCAGCAAGGAAACATTTAAACATACCGTTTTAGAAAGATTACTTTTGCAATACTATACAGGATGTGTTAGAGAGAGGAAGATTCCAGAGATGGGGAAATATATTAGGAGGTTATTACAGTAGTCCACTTATGAGATAAGCTGAAAAGAAGGGATGAAGTTGGAATAGAAAGGAAAGAGACTGAAACTGAAGGACCAGTAGGATTTGATCACGGGTAATGGGGAAAAAGGTGAAAGTTGAAAGTCAAGGTAACAAATGATTTGGAATTACAGTAATCAGTGTAGATATACAACCTAGGGATACCTGCATTGCCTACTATGAGATACAGAACCATTTGTACAACGTTGGGACTAAATAGGTCTCTACACACTTGAAATGACAGGGAGCTACCTAGCTATTTTAAATAATAAGCTCCTAATGTGTTCATGAATACACTTGATATGTATTGAGCATCTAGTGTGTGCCAGTATATGGATATATCCTAGTGCACATAACAGATGTAGAACTCATGGAACCTACATTTTGGCTCAGAGGTTTGGAATTAAATGAGGACACAAATAATGGAGTTACTTATATCAGGAAATGCTATGAAAGAAAAAGAAGAGGAGACTATGAAAGAAGATAGTAAGGAAAAAGTATTATTATATGTTGGGGATCGGGGGAAAGATACTGTCCTCAGCAACAAGTACAACACGGTTAGAGGTTTATAGCTAATGAGCAGATTGAGATGGTTTCTGGATGGAAAGTTACCAAGAGGAGACATCAAGGGTAGGGGATTCTCTCTAAATGGGCATAATTGGATTCTTACTAAGGGCGGGCCAAGCATTTACACATCAAGAGTGGGAGATGTGGAGCTTGATTAAATATCAAAGGTAATCAGATATCAAGGGTAGGATGACTTAGTATTCTTTGCTGAGACTGACTTAGGCCAAGGACAAGGCTTAAAAGTGATACTTAGTTGAAAAGAGAGCTCAGAGGAGTCCTGTTAAAGTTCAGTCAAGGAGAGAGTTGTCAAATGAGAAGCCATTATAGGATGTTAGAGGCCTGGTGCACCAATTTCATTTTCAAAGGTCACTGCTCTTGGTAGAGCAAGTGGGCAAGGATGGAAGAGATTGCGGTGGTCCAGTAAATATAATGATAATGACGATGGCTTGGCTTTCATCAGGACTCTCCTCCTAGTACTGCAGAACCTAAACTGAGGTTCTAGCTATATCATCACAATTAGCTAGCAGTCAACTAAAACCCCAAACCTTTTTCAGACAATGCTACTGGTCAAAATTCCCCTGTGCTGTGTTTGTGCATTGATTTGTTCTTAATCACACAGTTAACATTTATTCTTGTTAAATCTCTTTGTGCTGGTTTCATTTTTTTCTGATAACCTTGAATTCTGCTTCCTGAATAATGTCAGCAATGCATCCGTAGTTATAGCTCAGGTATTCTTGTCTTTGAAAGGATATTCACTATTTACCAGTCATGCAGTTTGGAGGTATGATTTTAGTAATAGTAAAAGGTCTCTTGTGTATAAACACATTGTAGGTTACCAGTCTCCCTCTAATAGGATAACTGGTGTTACAAATCTGATCTTAATCAGGCTTTTGCTATTTAGGATAATTCAGGATAATGCATTTGTTATAAATGTAAATACAATGGCATTTACAGTTGTTAATTGATAAAAACTAAGTCTGTTTTTTATACTCTGCTATAACATAAACAGCACAACAAGTTTTCTTTTAATGAACATTACATTTTTTGTATATTCACAAGAGGAGGGAAAATAGATTACCTAATGATTTAGTACACTTATGAAACAAATGCTTTCATGAAATGGTTCCAATCTGTATTACATATTACCTTCCTCTTGTTTAAGATTGCTTTGAGGTATAAATACCTTGTAATGGAATGCTAGGTCTTTAGATTTTATTCAGCTTTGTTAATGGTAAATGTCCTTTTTTTTTTTTTTTTTTAAGTTTATCTTGAGAGATACAGAGAGGGAGAAAGAGAGAATCCTAAGCAGGCTCATGCTGTCAGCTCAGAGCCTCACTCGGGGCTCAAACTCACAAACTGCAAGATTATGACCTGAGCCAAAATCAAGAGTCCAGTGTTTAACTGACTGAGCCACCCAGATGCCCCAATGGTAAATTGGTTTCTGAAGTGGCAGTACCATATTAGTCTCCCACTGACAGTACAAAACACTTCTAGGGGCACCTCTGGGTGGCTCGGTAGTTAAGGGCCTGACTTTGGCTCAGGTCATGTAAAGCCCTGCATCAGGCTCTCTGCTGTCAGCAAAGAGCCCTCTTTGGATCCTCTGTCTCCCTCTCTCTCTGCCCTTTCCCCTACTCATGCATTCTCTCTCTCTCAAAAGTAAACATTAAAAATAACTCTTTAAATAAAAAAACACTTTTAATTGAACCATCTCCTCACCTACATTTGAAATTACCTAGACTTCTTTATGTTTGCCTGTCAAGAGGGTGTAAAATGGTATATTGCTGTGGTCTTAATTTGGATTTCCCTAATTAGTAATGAAGTTGAGCAACTTTTCATGTTTATTAACCATTTATGTTTTCCTTTTCTTAGGAATGCTTGTTTTCTGTTTCTCATTTTTTTAATGGGTTGTTTGTCTTGTGGCTTCATAGAGGATCTTTGTATGTTTAGATACTAATTCTTTGTTTAGCATGTATTGAAAATATCATTTCCAGTTTTGGGCATAATTTGTCACCTTTATTAAATCTTTTGATAAATGGAAGTTTTGGATGTTAATATAGTTGAATTTATCTTATAGTCAATACTTTTTGTGTCCTGTTCAAAAAATTATTTCCATTTATAGGATTACAAAAACATTGTTCTATACTTTTTTTCTAAACACTTCAAAATTTTCCTGTTAAGACTTAGAAACACTTAATGTTTTGTGTATATGTTGTGTGAGGTAGGAATGCAGTTTCATTTTATTCCATTGGCTATTTGTCCTAGCACCATTCTCTCCCTTCTACTTCACTCTTGCCGTCTGTCATGTGTGAAGTTTCCACGTGTATGGGTCTGTTTGTGGCTTTTGGGTTTTGGTTTTTTGGTTGTTGTTGTTTTTTGTTCTGGGGTTTTTTGGGGTTTTTTTTTTTTTTCTGTTTTATCAGTTAACTTTTCTATTCCTGGACCAACTCCATACATTAACTGCTACAGGTTATTAATAAGCCTTAACATGAGGAGCAAGTGCCCCAACCCTATTATCTTGCTATTTTCGGTTCTTTGCTCTTACATAGAAAATTTAGAAACAGTTTGTCAAGTTGCTTGAAAAGCCTGTTGGGTTTTTTTAATTGTAATTTAATTCAGTCTCTAGTTTATTAACATCTTTATGATATTTTGAATCTGAGTATGGTCTAGCTTTCTACTTTTTTAGCTCTTCATTTATCTTTCAAAAGTACATTTTTCTGATAGAAGTCTTGTACATCTTTGTTCGCTTTATAAATGTACTTTATTGCTTTTATAAATGGCATCTATTTTAAAAATCATTTTAATTGCTTCTAGTGTGTATAAGGGCACATTGGTTTTGCATATTGGCCTTATATCCAAAAATCTTGTTACATTTTCTTAGTCTGTAGACTTTTTAAGTCCCCTGTGAAGATGTCCTATTCAGTTGAAGGATTTCTTTGATTTCCAGTCTTTATACTATACATTTCTCTTCTCACCATGCTGGTGAGTATTTCTAGACATTCTTGCATTATTCCTGATCTTAAAGGGAATTCTTTTAAAATATAATTGAATTTTATGTTTTCAAAGGTGTTTTATAGGCATCCTTTATCAGGTTAAATAAGCTTTTACCCATAGTTTGTTGAAGTTTTAATCATGAACAAATGATTAAATTTCAGCAAATGCTTTTGCTGTTATCTATTGCAACCTGTTAATTTAGTAAATTAGATTGATAATTTTTCTAATGTTAAAAGCCCCTTGCATTTTGACAGTATTCAAAGTGATTAAGATTTATCTGCTTTTCTACATCACAAGATTTAGTTTGCTAATATTTTGTTTAGAACTTTTACATCTATATTCATGAGTAAGTTTAGACTATAATTTTCCTTTTTTTACACTGTTCTTGTCTGGTTTTCATATCCAAGTTATACTGCCTGAATATGTATTGCCTTTCACTTGTGTATCACAGGAAGAGATTATATACTGTAGCTTGAAAGATCAGACCTGGATTTCGTCGGAGGACAGTTGTAGAACTTTAAATAGAAGCTTAAATGCTTCCTGTTGTTTCTGAAGTCATTTTTAAAAATATTTTTAGGAATTAGGCAGAAAAAACAAATTTTTTTTAATGTACAGGCATACATTAGTTTATATCTTCTCAATCTCTTCTGGATCTGTTGTTATGATTCTTTTTCCATTTCTAATGTTACATTCAGTATCTTTATTTTTTCTGTGTTTGCCTCTATCTACTAGTCTTTTCAAGAAGTGACTTTTGGCTTTGTTGATGCTCTCTATAATATACTGGTTTTCTCCTTTATTAATTTCTGCTCAAGTTTTACTTCCCACCTTGGTTTCTCTTGGTTTACTATCTTTTCCTAACATGTTAGAGTCTTAGCTGACTAATTTACCCAGCCTTTCTTCTTTTTTAATACTGCTTTGAACACTATACATTTCCTTCCAAGTTTTACATTCACTGAAGCCCAGTAGTTATTTTATTTTTTGACATATAATTGACTTATATTAGCTTCAAGTGTACAACATAATTATTCAATATTTATATATATTTCAAAATGATCACTACAATATGTCTAGTTAATATCTATCAACATACAAATCTCAGATTTTATATTTTTATTATCATCCCATTCACATTCCTATTGGGATTTCTTCTTTACTGAAATTGTTCTGGAGTATTTTTAAATTTCCAAACAGGTTTTTTTGGGGAGGGTTTTAGATTTTCATTTCATTTATTTGCACTGAAGTCAGACAATCTTTGGAATTGGTTAAGATTGGTTTCATCCCCTTTAGTACATGATCAGTTTTTACAAAGGTTTCCTGTGTGCTTGACGAGAATGTGTATTCTATATTAATGAGTGGCTGTGCTATATATTTATGTCCATGGGGTCAGTCTAATGTGTTATTCAACTTTTCTATATTTCTGTTGATTTTGACTACGTGTTTGTCATTTACTGAAAGAGACTGTCACTTTCTTCCTGTACTTTTGGTCCCTCTCTGGTATATATTTTTTTATATTGTTTCTATTCCAAATAATTTTTTTTGTTTTAAAGCTATTTTATCTGATATTAACAGGTGTCCCATCTTTCCAGTGTTTAGTATTTGCCTGGCTTATCTTTTGCTGCCTTTTACTTTAAACATTTCCATTTCCTTCTGTTTTAGATGTATCATTTCTTAAGTTTAGTATTTTTTAAAATTCTGATAATAGCCCATTTACATTTTTGTGGTTATAGATATATTCATGTAAAATCTTGGCATCTGTTTTCTCTTTGTGTCACTTTCTTCTCTTCTTCTTTCATTGATTGCATTTTTTGAGTAAGCCTTTATTGTAGAATAATTTTCAATTTATAGAAAAGTTGCAAAAGACAAGACATATTTCTAATATACCCTTCACCCAGCTTCCCCTAATGTTACAGAACATCTTATGTAATCATGGTATATTTGTCAAAACCAAGAAATAACATTGGTATAATACTATTAACTACAGACTCTTCACATTTCTCAAGTTTTTCCACTAATGTCCTTCCTCTGTTCCAGAATCTAATTCAGGAATCCACGTTTTAATAAATAATTTTAAAGTTTCCCAAATATTAAAGGAATACAAATATAAACAGAGAAATCTGTTTTATAATACCCACATTTAACATATATTTATTGTAGGCCCCATCATTCCTTATTTGTGATTATAAAATATTTTTTAAAATCTTGAAAACCAAAAGCTTTTTCACAGGTTACATGGTGGCAAAACAGTGTATCATCTCTAATTTTAACATGACTACTTTTGTCTTTTATAGATTTAACTATAAGTATTAACAGTTTACAAGCTCCTCCTTGCATTCCAGAGCAATTTGGGATCCATTGCTTCTTTCTAAAGTATGACCTTTAAAAATTCATTTAGTGTTAATGTATCAGTGGTAATTTTTCTCAGATATACTTATCCAAAAGTTTTGCCCTCATTTTTAAAAGACAGTTTTGCTAGATGCATAATTCTGTATTGACAGGAATTTTTTCTAAGTCTTTTAAAGATTTTATTCTACCAGATTCTGGCTTTAGTTGATACTGTTAACCCTCTCCTGTCAACCTAATTGTTATTCCATTATAGATGACCTAGCTCCAACTGCATTTAAGACCCTGTGTTTGGTGTTTTGCAGATTCACTCTGAAGTATCTAGGTTGTTGTTTCTGTTTTTAGTCCTCCTTAATTTACAGAATGCCTCGACCTATAGATTCACATCTTTCATCAGTTCTGAAAAGTTCATAGCAATAACCTCTTGGGATTTTGCCTTTACTCTGTCTTCTGTAACTATGAATATATGTTAGATCTTGTGGTTCTCTTTAGTTCTTTGTAACTCTTTCACATTTGTCTCTTTGTCTCAGCCTTTGCTACATTCTGGGAAGTTTCTTCAAATACACCTTCCAGTTCATTAATTCTCTACAGCTTTCAAAGGTATCTAATTGACTAATCCATTTGTAAAGAGTAAGGGACAGGAAGAACAGCATGTATAGCCAAGGCATTCTCTCAAGAGGTCTTGAAACAAGGGGCACACTTATCTGTAAGTGGGAGTAAACCACCTCAGCCCAGAGAAGGCTCTTAGCACAGAGAACCCCAGCAGTTTCTTTATTCAGTCGTAATACAACACCTCAAGGCCTGTATGCCAAATCTTCTCAGTCTTGATGTAATTCTTAAAGTAGAAGATTCATAATACATAACATTGATAATCAGTTCTCCTTTTAAGTTCTTTTTTTTTGAGGGAGAAAGACGGTGCAAGCAGGAAGAAAGGAGAGAGAGGGAGAGATTGAGAATCCCAAACAGGCCTGAGCCCAGTGCAGGGCTTGAGCTTGCAAACCAAGATCATGACCTGAGCCAAGATCAAGAGTCAGATGCTTAACTGAGTCATTCAGGTGCTCCAGAACAACTTGGTCTTTTTAAGAAGGCTTGAGCAAGGCTGTCAGGTAGAGCCGTTTGTATTTTGTTCTGCCCTTGTGAATTTTCCCCTGAACTAAGTAATCTTACATTTATGCAGGATCTTTGTTTTGTCCTTTCATAAATCTAGTCAGTGATATTCTCTGGAATGATATTTAAATTCCAAACTTGAAACTGAATCCTAGATGTAAATAATTAATTTATTTTTAATTTATTCATTTTTGAGAGAGATAGGGCACAAGTGAGAGAGAGGGAGAATCCCACACAGGCTTTACACTGTCAGTGTGGAGCTTGAAGCAGGGCTCAAACTCATGAACTGCAAGATTATGACCTGAGCCGAAGTTGGATGCTTAACCTGCTGAGTCACCCAGGCGCCCATAAATAATACTTTCTGAATACGGTATCACATATACATGCACACAATTCATCTGTTACTCAGTCTTTCTTCCAGAAACATGTATGGACACATTTTTGTTCTTTCTCTGCTGTGCTATTCAGGAATTTGAAACTGAACACAGAAAGGGAGATCTTTCAGAAGATGTAGTTGTCAGATAATTTAAAAAACAGCATTTAAACAGTTTCTTTGCTACCATCCACATTCTTCCCCAGTTGCCTTTTAGAATGACTAAATTAAAAGAATTAAATATAGGGGCACTTGGGTGGCTCAGTCAGTTAAGCGTATGACTTGGTTTCGGCTCAGGTCATGATGTTGCAGTTTTGTGAGTTGGATCCCCAAGTCTGGCTTTGAGCCAGCAATACAAAGTCGGCTTAGAGCTCTCTCTCTGTTTCTGTCTCTCTCTGTCCCTCCCCAACTCACTGTCTCTAACAATAAATAAACTTAAAAAAATTATTAATATAAATATGGCATCATTTGTCAAAGTGATTTTACTGTGGGAGGCTTTGGAGAAAATATGATACTATTTAAATGAGTAGTTGAAATGCTATAAGTTTTTTGTTCTTTGGCAGAGTATTGCTGTTTAGGTGCAAACTGGGTGTACTGCAGTATACAGTTGTCAGACCATTCACCACCATTGTTGCTTTGTAAGTACAAAGAACTCTTTTTTTCATTCTCATGCTCTTAATTGAGAACAATTGAGTAGACATACCAAGAGCATTAATTTACTGTTTATGATACATATATACTCTGTTATAAAAAACAAAGTATATAGAAACCCTCCTGTTTTAAAATAAATAAGGTGACCATTTATAGGCAAAGAATCACTACAGAATTCTTCTAAATAACATTGTCTACTTCATTCTAGGAAACATTTAAAAAAAATTTTTTTCCCAAATACTAATGTTCACAAAGTTTTACAAAAACATCTGTTACATGAAGGTAAAGTAGTATTACTTTAGGTTCATTATATGGTTTAGGTTTCTATATGGTTAACTAAGAATATGAATACTATATTCCAAGGATGAAATCATAGTTTTCTTATTTAAGAATTCTGTAAAGGCTTAGGAGATGAGGTAAGATGATATATCATTAAGCTGTCTGGTAAAACTATTTCCTAAAAATTTAAGAACATCAGACAATTTAAAGTGAATAGATTGTGTGTTTTCTCTGCTAATAATAACTAATACTGTGCATGTTCAGAGAAAGCATAGGAAGAAAGGTAAAAGAAGCATTCAGTTCTTTATTCTACCTTTGACCTAGCACCTCTTTAGCAGTGTTTACCTTAGAATTAAAATGAATTAATTTCTTTATGATGGCATGTTTTATCTGCCTGTAGTTTAGAAACAGGGTAATCACATAAGCTAATACTTAGTTCTGCATGTTCATAAAATTTACCTCCCAAGACAAGTTGTGGTAAAAAAGTATAGTTATAGACTTAAGATTATAAGTCTATAACAATCAAGCTTCTGAAAATTAGGCAACATATTTTTATTTTTAATCTAGTAATTATCCTTTCTAGTTCAGTGCCTTATTTTGTCTTATTATGGAATTAAGATGCAGGAATAATCATTTAGTAATATTACTAGAAAAATGTTTTAATTTTGAACCACTTCTTTGACCAAAATCAAGTGATTATCTACAGGGTCTTTTAAATAAACTGACTTCTATGGCAAAAAAACAGACACATCGACCAATGGAATAGAATAGAGAACTCAGAATTGGACCCACAAACGTATGGCCAACTAATCTTTGACAAAGCGAGAAAGGGTATCCAATGGAGACAGCCTCTTTAACAGATGGTGCTGCAAGAACTGGACAGCAACATGCAGAAGAATGAAACTAGATCACTGTCTCACACCATACACAAAAGTAAACTCAAAATGGATAAAGGACCTGAATGTGAGACAGGAAACTATCAAAACCCTAGAGGACAAAGCAGGAAACAACCTCCTTGACCTCCACCGCAGCAATTTCTTACTTGACACATCCCCAAAGGCAAGGGAATCAAGAGCAAAAATAAACTATTGGGGCCTCATCAAGATTAAAGGCTTCTGCACGGCAAAGGAAACAANACTGACAGAATAGGAAAAGATAGTTGAAAATGACATATCAGATAAAGGGCTAGTATCCAAAATCTATAAGGAACTCACCAAACTCCACACCCCAAAAACAAATAATCCTGTGAAGAAATGGGTAGAAGACATGAACAGACACTTCTCCAATGAGGACATCCAGATGGCCAACAGACACATGAAACGTTGCTAAGCATCACTCATCAGGGAAACACAAATCAAAACCACACTGAGATACCACCTCACGCCAGTGAAAGTGGCTAAAATGAACAAATCAGGAGTCTATAGGTGCTGGCGAGGATGTGGAGAAACGGGCACCCTCCTACACTGTTGGTGGGAAGGTAAACTCGTGCAGCCCTTCTGGAAAACAGTGTGGAGATTCCTCAAAAAATTAACAATAGAACTCCCCTATAACCCAGCAATAGCACCGCTGGGAATTTACCCAAGGGATCCAGGAGTGCTGATGCATAGGGATACATGGACCCGAATGTTCACAGCAGCACTCTCAACAATAGCAAAATCATGGAAAGAGCCTAAGTGTCCATCAACTGACGAATGGATCAAGAAGATGTGGTTTATCTATACCATGGAATACTACATGGCAATGAGAAAGAATGAAATCTGGCCATGTGTAGCAACATGGATGGAACTTGAGGGTGTTATGCTGAGTGCAATAAGTCAGGCAGAGAAGGACAGATACCATATGTTTGTATGTATAGGTGGATTAGGAGGAACTTAACGGAGGACCATGGGGGAGAAGAAGGGAAAAAATAATTGGATAGGGGGAGGGAGGCAAACCATGAGAGACTCTTGAATGCTGAGAACAAACTGAGGACTGATGGGGGTGAGGGAGAGGGGAAGGGAGGTGATGGGCAAGGAGGAAGGCACTTGTTGGGATGAGCACTGGGTGTTATTTGGAAACCAACTTGACAATAAACTATTTAAGAAAATAAGTAAGTAAATAAATAAACTGACTTCTAAATTTAAGTACTGCTGTCAATGCTGTGTTTTAAAATATTTATTTGATTTAATCATAAATCTTATTTTTACCATTTTAGAATCTGTGAGCTGCTTGGTATATATGATGAAGGAAACTTTAGCTTTTCAAATGCTTGGACTTACTTGGTTATAATAAACAACATGTCACAATTGGTGAGTAAATATTTTTTTAATATATCTATTTTTAAAATTTATTTTAAGTAGGCTCCATACCCATCATGGTGCTTAAACTTAAGACGCTGAGATCAAGAGTCACAAGCTCTACTGACTGAACCAGCCAGGTCCCCAGTAAATATTACTGTATTAAATTAATATCTATGACTCTAAATTTTCTTAGGAAAAGTTTCTTTGGAAATAAAGTTTTTTATTTTTTAATCTTGAAATTTGGCTTACAGAAAAGAACCTGAAGAAACTTTAACATGTCTTTATACATATACAAAGATATGATGTCTTTATCTGGTGACTTTTACCTTGACCTGTTGATAATGTTTGTTCATTTGATTGTGGTAGTCATTGCATAGTTGTGTGGCTATGACATAAATAAAAGCACAATGCTCTCCTTAAAAAACACATAGCTTAGGCATACTCAGTAAGAGAAAATGTGTAATTGGTATATGACAGTAAAAGTTTAAATAAAAAGTGGAGAATAAAATACTCTTATGTACTTGGAATTAAAGGAAAATTGTGAATGCCAAGTTAAAAAAAATGACATTCTAGAAACTAAAATACTCTAAAAAAGATAACCATCCGATCCTTTCAACTTAAGAACTTGAACTTCATTTAAAACCTTTAATGTTTTCAACAAAATAATAGGTACAATGACATGCATGTGTGTGATTAGATGTTTATAATAAAAATTATATGCCTATGGGGACATCTGGGTGACTCATTCAGTTAAGCGTCCAACTTTGGCTCAGGTCATGATCTCATAGTGCATGAATCCGAGCCCCACACTGAGCTGTCCACTCTCAGCACAGAGCCCACTTTGGATCCTCTGTCTCCCTCTCTCTCTGCTCCTCCCCAGCTTGTGCTCTCTGTCAAAAATAAACATTTTTAAAAAATATGCCTATGTATTCAAGGCTTTCCCTTATGTTCATGCTCTTCAAAACCAGTAATTCCATTCATTACTGGGAATGTAATCCTCAAGAAATAGTTCTAAGGGGGCGCCTGGGTGGCTCAGTCAGTTAAGCATCTGTCTCTTGGTTTCAGTTCATGATCTCATGGTTCGTGGGATAGATCCCCTCGTGGGGCTCTGCAGTGACACTGTGGAGCCTGCTTGGGATTCTCTCTCACCCTCTCTTTATCTGCCCCTCCCCTGCTCATGCATGCATGCACATACACTCTCTCAAAATAAACATTTAAAAAAAGAGAAATAATTGTCTTTAGTTTGAATATCTTTGTATATACAGACCATTATTTGTAATAGCAAAAGGCTGGAAACCATCCAAAGTCCAGTGATAGAGTCTGGCTAAACGTACTATGGTCCTTCCACCAGCTAAAATATTAAAATATTAGGCAGAATTAAGAAGAATCCTTATGAGGGACGCCTGGCTGGCTCAGAGGAGCATGCAGCTCTTGATACCAGGGTTGTGAGTTGGAGCCCCACGTAGGGTGTAGATTACTTAAAATCTTTAAAAGAGTAATACTAAGGGGCGCCTGGGTGGCTCAGTTGGTTAGGCATCTGACTTCACTTTCAGGTCATGATCTCTCAGTTCATGGGTTTGCGCCCTGTGTTTGGCTGTGCACTGACAGCTCAGAGCCTGGAGCCTGTTTCTCATTGTGTCTCCCTCTCTCTCTGCCCCTCCCCTGCTCACGCTCTGTCTCTCTTAGTCTCAAAAATAAATGTTTAAAAAAAGTTTTTAAAAGGTAATAATAATCCTTATGAAATACATGAAAAAGACAGACGCTTTAAGTGAGGGAAAGTCAGGCAACCAAATTTTATTTTTAGTTGATGATACCTGTTAAAAACCACCTGTGTGTAGAATGGAATGTTTGGATGATGGGACTGTGGACAACTCTATATTTTACTTTACTGTTTTTATATTCTAAAATCTTTTAAATGAACATTTTCTATGACTGTAATGGGAAAAAGTAAACTTTTAGGGAAATGCTTATTGCTATGTACACTACTACGTTGTTACAACTGATTTCTAAAAAATAGTTAATATTAAGTCTTGAGCATTTATTTTAAAAAAGTAAATTCAGCCAGATTAACATACTGACCTCAAGAAAAATTGTTTCCCTGATTCCTTACTTTCATTTTTCATGGTCACAATTTTTTTTTTAAATTTTAATGTTTTATTTATTTTTGAGAGAGAGAGATAGAGACAGTGTGAGCAGGGGAGGGTCAGAGAGAGAGGGAGACACAGAATCTGAAGCAGTCTCCAGGCTCTGAGCTAGCTGTCAGCACAGAGCCCGACACGGGGCTCGAACCCACAAACTGTGAGATCATGACCTGAGCTGAAGTTGGACACTTAGCCGACTGAGCCACACAGGCGCCCCTACATGGTCACAATTTTATTCAAATAGTACTTATTCCCCGTGTTGTCTTTATAAATAATATATGTAATATTGTAAGATAGATCAATCAAGCTCAACTCTTATAAAATCAATTGCAATTTGTATATAAAAGTGATTATAGTGAGCATATATATTTTTATTTTGGTTGAAAGAGAGCCTTTTCTTCCATTCATGACCATCACTTGTTCAGTGTTATCTTTATGGGTTCCAGTACATGAACACTTAAAATTACTTTCAGAGAAGACATTATGCATCTCTTACTAGAAATTTCATATCATATATGTTCATCCACAGTAAACTATAAAAGCTCATTGTTAATCTAAAATTGACAGAATAGAAGACCTAAAAAACTTTGCCTGAAGCTTGACTGTACCAGGTTCTGGTTTATAAATGTAGTATTTCTATTACCGTATTTAATTATTCTTATTGAAGAAGTTTAACTGTTACTCTTGTTTCTAGTTTGCCATGTATTGTCTGCTGCTATTTTATAAAGTACTAAAGGAAGAATTGAGTCCAATCCAACCTGTTGGCAAATTTCTTTGTGTAAAGCTAGTGGTTTTTGTTTCCTTTTGGTAAGTGTTGCTTTCTCCTAAATGTTCTCATTTTCTACAGGGTAATAACACTGTTGATTAGGGAGGATTTTCAGAGTGGACTTTATGTAGAAGATGAATTAAATGGCTCTACTCCCCTTTTAAAAAGTTAATCCTTTTAGCCCTTCTTGGTTTTTCATAAAGAAATAATCAGATGGTCACCATCATATTTACAAGAAGAAAGTAATTTGAGACAACCTAAATGTCTCAACACTAGAGGAATCATTAAAATATATCATGGTCCTTTCATATAAGATAATAGACTGCAGTTTGAAAGATAAATATAATATAGAATATTTAATAATGTGAGGTATAATGTTCATTAGTAAAATACGTTCTTTAAAGCAGAAGACAAAACTGTTCATGGTCCCAATTTAGTGAAAAGGTGGGTGATTGGGGACCTAGAAACAAATAGACTTACAAATACAAAAAGGAAAAAGAATAATCCTTGAAATCCTACCACCCAGAATGATTAACATATTGTGGTGCACATAACGTCACATATAAATTCCATAGAAATAGTTTCATACTATAAAAACTTGTAGAATTCAGTGATATGTTCAGTATATTGTGTATATAGTTCTTAGTCTATAAAGTGAGGATATAACTTTGTGTTTATTTTTTTTGTTTTGCTAAATATTCTCTGGTTCTAACTTTTTTTAACCAATCTTCTGTTGACATTTAGGTTGTTCCTAATTTTTCACCATTACAAGCAATATTGAAGTAAAATTCTTGTATACAAAATTATGAAGACTTGTCTCACAATCTTATTATTAGCTGTCTAAATTTAACCTAGGGTCATACCCATAGTTGTGCTTGAAATGTTCAGTATGACACCATCTTGGGAGTCTAACACCTTCTGAATTTGTCTCTAGTTCCCACACTTCAAACAAGACTGGTTTTAATATTTTAAAGAATAATCTGGATAATTAATACAGGTGTAAATAACATTGACATATCTGTCCTGTATTTCATTTTAAATGCCTGTTACACAAGGTGTTAGGCATTGTCTATGTATAGGAAACACTTATTTTGCTTGTACATACTTTCAAAGCAAAAAGACGTATAAACCAAATACTGAAGTTACATATGTTTAAGAATACAAAATGAAAATTCATACAATGAAACTACACTAGAAGAATAAATTTATAAAGCAAATAAATGTTTTTAATATATACAATGTCTTCAAGGAGTATGCTATGAAGACAGGGTGGTGGTGGTGGCCCACAAGTTGTGTAGGGGTTAAGTTTTTTAAATGACTTATTTTTAAAACAATGGCTCATTTTATGCTTGATATAGATTTGGCGTTTACCTTTTCCTAACATATAGGCAAGCAGTAGTTATTGCTTTGTTGGTTAAAGTTGGCGTTATTTCTGAAAAGCATACATGGGAATGGCAAACTGTAGAAGCTGTGGCTACAGGACTCCAGGTTAGTGCTATCTGTGAATTTTTTTTAAATTTACTGTTTACCCATTTTACATATTATCTCTGAAACCTGACAACATGCAGGCTGTGGGGCTACTATTCTCCTTACTTCACAGATGAGGAAATGGGGAACCCTAAGGAAATTAGCCATCATCACTTGTGGTAGAGCCAGGAAGAGAACCTAGAATGTGTTTTTCTTAGTTTCTCTGTGCATTTTTCTCTTAGTCCTTGGGCAGTGGATGAGAATGCATTGTATTTTGCTAAGATATACTTAAGTAGTATAAAGGAGATGTAATTTGTGCCATTTTGCCTTTTTTTAAGAGGTCAAAGACAGTTATTTTGGAAAACGAGTATTATAATATGGGGGAAAACGGATGTTGATACTTAAATCCTTTTTGAAAAGAAAGATCATGTTTTTATTTAAAAAACTAGCCATTCAAAGATGGCTGAAGTTCTTGTTGTTGTTGTAGGACTTTATCATCTGTATCGAGATGTTCCTTGCTGCTATTGCTCATCACTACACTTTCTCATATAAACCGTATGTCCAAGAAGCAGAAGAGGGCTCATGCTTTGATTCTTTTCTTGCCATGTGGGATGTTTCAGATATTAGGGATGATATTTCTGAACAAGTAAGGCATGTTGGTAAGTACCAGCCCTTGCATTCATCCAAATATGTTGTTGTAGTTCTCATACTAGGGCAATTTAGTTGCTGTTTTTAAGAGATGCAAAGACTGTTTAAAGCAGTACCAGTAAAATTGGGAGAGGGGAGGCAGAACTTACTTTTAGCATGGTAAATTTATAGTGGTAAAAATAACTTTTGGCTAACTTGAAAACCTTTCTATTACTCTAAAGGAAGAACAGTCATGGGACATCCTAGGAAGAAATTTTTTCCCGAGGACCAAGATCAAAATGAACATACAAGTTTGTTATCATCGTCATCACAAGATGCAATTTCTGTTGCCTCTTCTGTACCACCTTCACCCATGGGTCACTACCAAGGGTTTGGACACACTGTGACTCCACAGACTACACCTACTACCGTTAATATATCAGAGGAAATGTATCATGACACTACAGGAGAGAAAAATGAACTTTCAGATAAATCTGTGGCCTCCTGAATGAGTGCAGAAGCAAAGTGTGCTCCTTCTACCATGTTATTTCATCACCTGGTATCGCATTGCTCAGGATTTTGTGCTTGGGACAAGCTATAAATGATGGAAAATATCAACACAAAGAAGGTGAAAGCCAGGTACTATTGGATTTATATAACTGAGTTTTGTATATCACAAATAATCAGTCTAAATATCCTAGACTTAGACTTGATTTCTTAACATTAGAGTATCACATACTCCAAATGGTAGAAAATGACTCTACTAAATGTTCCTGATGTTAACATTGCTTTATCAAGAGGATGGACATTAAAAGAAAAAAAAAAAATCAATGCTTCCTACCACTGCTGCATGAATATAATGCTCTGGAATTTAGCAGAAAGTATAATTTGGAAATATGATTTAGTGGAACTTAATCATGTGCCACATATGCCTACCTAACAATTATTTCTCTATTTCTCAACTGGATGTCTTTCAATAAATGAGAATTTATCATTTATTTTCTACAATTTTATCTCTCATTCCTTAAACATAAACCCTTACTGTTTTTTCAAAAAGTTCTTGATTAGAAGCACAGCAAAAAAGAAGTATGTCCAAAAAACTTAAAGTTTAAAAATTACATACCTACAATGAAGGAAACCTGTATCTTACATTCCTTTTAGGAGAAATAGCAAGAACCTAATATGAATCTTAAAACAACTACTATCTAAAAATGTTATTTGCAACACTGTTTATAGATTAATAGGTTATCCATGACTTTCAGATGGAAAGAATAAACTGGATAGAAGACTGAGAGGATAAATAAGAAACTTATGATAGCAATGGAGTCTACTTTTCCTCATGCCATTACAGGTATCAGCAAACAAACCTAGGCTGAGTAGTCTTAATTACTCATTAAACCACAGTCAGAAGACGTGTAGGGTGGGGGCTCCTGGGTGGATCAGTCGGCAAAGCATCGGACTTCGGCTCAGGGCATGATCTCACAGTTCGTGAGTTTGAGCCCCATGTCAGGGTGTCAGCTGTGCTGACAGCTCAGAGCCTGGAGGCTGCTTCGGATTCTGTGTTTCCCTCTCTCTCTCTGCCACTCTCCTGCTCATGTTCTCTCCCAAAAAATAAACATTAAAAGAAAAAATTTTTTTTTTAAAAAAGACATGTAGGTGCTATTTGGGAGACACTTCACTTAAGATTGAGTTTCTCAAATCGCTAATCACAAACCACCAGGTTACAAACTGTAAATCTAGAAAGTGTGAAAGTAGTATGTTACAAATTACAAGAATAAGTATTTCTCAAAATCTTTGCTTTATATATTTAAGCACATTCATATACTGGTTCACCATAATTGGATACAAAATCTTTATTCTGTCCACTATTATAAACATTTCTATTGAAAGCAAAGCTGGATAGTATAATAACAGAGCAATGAGAACAGGCAATGTAGAGAGAAGGTATATCTTATTTTCTTTGTGGCTTACAAAGAGCACACAGTATATACAAGAAATATCTTCTTCCTTATTAATCATCCTGTTGCAAGTCTTTTAAAAATTGGACCAATTATTATATTTTTCTTACTGTACATATGGATCAAAACTTCAGAAAATACTGATTTAGGCTTACCTCATTTTTGAATTTACCAGCTTTTTCTTTTTGCCAAAGTGAACCTGGAAAAATGCTGCCTCTTTAAGATTTTACTTCATCCTTAATTCTTTTATTCTCAAAATTATATTTAGCTTATAGCTTAAATTCTTATTCAAGTTTGCATTCTCAAAACACAAAACCCAAGGAGTTTCAGAAATATGCTAAGTATTTAAAAGAAGCAAGCTTGGAATTTATAAGTAACCATAACCCTGTCTTCAATGGAAGCCAACTTTCAGATATATCCCAATTACAAGCTGGACTTAAATAAGTCAAGATGCCTAAAAAATTCAAAGTTTTGCTTTACTTACACAGGACAATGAAGATAGGACTCAAATCCCTTATCTTTATAGCTTTAGAGTGTAGACTAAAGTGTTTAGGAAAACTGAACCCATTCTAAGTACAACCAAGAAATAAAAATAAAGCTTACTAACCTGAAAAATTAATGACAGCCTTTTGGAAAAGGAAGTCTGCAGCAATATTTTTATAACAACGCTCCTCTTTAAAATCTTTTAAATATACTTTATTAATCAATTTAAAAATATTTACTCATTACAAGGAATTAAATCTTAATATCTCCATTTTATGAATACAATTCCACTACTAATTCAGCCCAGAATTGTGTACTTGCTGCTCTACTTGAACGGTTTTTCATTAGAAAACTACTCTTCATTTCTTTACTGTGATACTGACATTGCTTTTGTGATGCTGGACACTGAGTACTAATTCCTCTCCCATCTCTACCTGGATAGGATTATCTAATACAACTGCAGCTTGTTTCCAGTGAGAGGTTTCACATGAAGTATCCAGCCTAATCTCGTCATCAAGGTACATATGATACCAAAAGGGAATGGCAGTCACTTGTCCAGATTTACAAATGTGTACCTATGAAAATTAAGAAATTACGAAAATTTCATCAGAATAAATACAGCAGACTTGGATAAGTAAGTCTATCTTTTTAGTCAATTTTAGCTCCATATTTTTAAAGATTTAATCACCCAATCCAAATTAATATCAACCTATTGTATTCACTAGTATTTACCCAATATTTACCCAATATTTTGAATATTGTTTAGGAAAAAACCTAACATTTAAATCTTCAAAGGATGTGACTAATACTATTTTGTATATGTATAGTATTACCTAGCTTAAGATAATTCTGAGTATGACAAGAATAATCATTTTGTATTACCTTTACTTCTCTGTTAGAGGTGTTCAAATATGGAGTCATTAAATCTAGTCTTAAGAGTTCCACTGGCTTGCTTAAAGGTATACAGGGCAGTGAGGACAGATCCAAAAATACACGAATAGGTACCTAGAAAAAGTACAAATTTTTCACTTTTACGCAATTCTTTCAGTGGCCACGTATCCTGAAGTGCTTACTTTGTACTTGTATTAGTAATGATACAATGCTTTTTACATCTAATACCTCATTTAATTTAATTCCCATGTCAACCTTAAGGCATAAGGACTTTCATGATTCCAGTTTGAGAAGGATGAACAAACCAAAGCTTAGGCAAGTTACATAATTTGCTATGGTTTCAGTTCTCTACAAATTCTTTTCTTAGATGAAAGCAGAATAGCTTTCAGCTTAAACCAAATGTTCCAAAAATTTTAAACACAGGATGTGCTTATGTGTGAAAGATGAACTAATTAGCAAATAGTACAATATTAATTACTGTTTGAGAAAATAACCAAATAATAGTGGATTTCATTTGGAAAATAAAGTTTAATTCTAGAAAGCAATATTTCTCAACTTTGGCTGCAAGTTAAAATCACCTAAAGAGCTTTTTTAAAGCCCCAACTGCTCAGGCCATACCTCAGATCAATCTGGAGCTGGGATCCAAGTATCAATAGTTATTAAAGTTCAGTCAAGGTTGAGAACCACTGCTATAATGTGCTCCATCAATTTTAGCAGCAATAGAACCTTCCTACCAGTAACTTTAGCCTCTTCAGTTTGAAATAGGAAACTATTGTTTTAAGAGTGCCCTCTTTCATTTGAGTAAAATATTAGCAACTGTTCATGGTGAAACAGTGGACACAGATATACCAACCTCTTCCTAGGCATCCTGAAGGCATCCGAGCTTCCCTCACCATAAAAAGAGCAATTCCATGCCGTTCCAAGACTCATTATGCCCTTTATCCTCATTTTTCTCAGTCACCAGAAGAAGCCCCAGATTCCTATGTTCCCTCTCATCACATGCACTCTGCTCCCTCACAGTCTGTCCTCACTTCTGTTTCTTAACCTAGCCCACTGGACACTCCTGTCATGTGTGTTAATTTTTCTTACATTTCCCCTCTAGAACTCATAATTTCATGAGTCCTCTAGAGTTCAGTTCTTTCGGTATATGCCCAAAGTGTCGCTCAGACTTAGGGCTTTAAATATCATCTACCACATTTTATCTCTAGCCTACATCTTTCTCTGAATTCTTATCCAACTGTTCAATGATCCTGCAAACATACACGCAGCCTGATCCTATTTTCCCCAAATCAGTAGATGGTAACTATCCTTCCAGGTGCTCTCTACTACCTCTCTCCTGGATTACTGCAATAATGCCTTTGCCTGCTCTCACAAGTAGCTTACTTTTAACACAAGAAGATATACCATGTCACTCCTCTGTTCAATACCCTCCAGTTGTTTTCCACCCTTTTTATAGTACAAGTCTTCCTATGACCAAAAGGCTCTACAGGATCTGGTTCCTAATACTTTTTTTTTTTTTTTTAATATTTTTTATTTATTTCTAGGAGAGAGAGAGAGAGACAGCGTGAGCAGGGGAGGGTCAGAGAGAGAGGGAATCACAGACTGAAACAGGCTCCAGGCTCCGAGCTGGCAGTCAGCACATAGCCCGACGCGGGGCTCGAACTCACGAACTGCGAGATCATGACCTAAGCGAAAGTCGGAAGCTTAACCGACTAAGCCACCCAGGCGCCCCTCCTAATACTTTTCTGACCGCATCTTTCATCTGACTCTCCTCATGGTTTTTTCCTGCTGTTTCTGAACACTCCAATCATGCTCTTGCCTCAGGCTATTGCATTTGTTGGTCCTTTGACTTGTTTATGGTTTGCTTCATTATTCTTCAGCTCCTTGCTTAACTATGAGTCCTTCCCATAGTCATTACCTCTATGAAACAGTATATCACATACCCCCATTCCCTGTATTTCTCAACATGTTTTATGTCCATAGCTCTCCTAACAATCTGTCATACTAATCTTTTTACTTGTTTATAATCTATCTGTCGTTTGCCAATTTGAGTGCAAGCTCCATTACTACAGGAACTTATCTCTTATTTTCCCAGGCCACTACAAAAACCAAAGAGAAGGGATATGAAAAGTATATAGATCGTAAAAACAAACTGTTAAGGAAGGGAGGATGTAAGATGGGAAGTATAGTGAAAAGATGGCAAGATCAAAATATCATAGATTCTGATGGGACCAAAGAATTGCTGATCAAGAGGGAATAAGCTAGAAAGGAGATGATGGTATTTTTGAACAACACAAATAATTTAAACTTCTGTCTTCTTTTTTTTAAGCTCTTTTTTTTTTTTTTAAGTAATCTCTACACCAAACGTGGGGCTTGAACTCACAACCCCAAGATTAAGGGTCGCACACTCCTCCAACTGAGATAGCCAGGTGCCCCTAAACTTCTGTCTTCTGATAAGTGTATTGTCTTTATTAAGCTTGCCAAAAATCTGAGATTAAATGAACTCTAAAACTTGTTAGCCAGCCCTGAAAAAAGCACTTTCTCAAGAAACTTAAATTTGCTGAGGAAGTACTATTCACATAAGATCTAACTGAATCTTCAAGGCTTACTATGTATAGCCTTTAAAATAAAAGTTGTAGATATCACTTCTTGAATTCTGTACCCAA